ACAATGAACGGTTACTTCTAAAAATAAATCAGAAATCTAAAATCAGCCATTTAACATCGATGGTTGAATTTAACCATCGATGGTTAGTTCATCACCAATCAATGATTTGAATGTTTATGGACGCTTGCGCCATCTATAATTGATAGTACGATCAATGATCTACAGATCAAATTGAGAGATTTTTGAAAAGTTACTATAATAGCGATTTTGACAACCGATTTAGAAGTTATGGCTTGTAAGTTTCTGTCTCGGTATGTCTCAAACTTGTTGCTAACTGTTTCAACGTTATTTAACTAAAACATTAATATCTAGAGCTATAAGTCTCCAAATTGAGTTTCATTTATTCTTGTGGATTTTTTTAGAATGATACAGACACTCCCCTTTGCTCAAACATGATTTCATTCTTGATATTTTTCCATAATCAGCTATTATTAACTTATTGTCTTGCTCTTTTCAGTATCGAACTTGATTCTAACCACTAGTAGAAAAATGAACAAACTAGATGGAACAAACTAGACAGATTTTTTTTCATCTAGTTTGAGGCAAACTAGACAGAAAAATCCGTCTAGTTTGTTCCGTCTAGTTTGAATCAATCTAGACGGAAATTTCAGTCTAGATTGATAAACTAGACCATTTTTTATTTTTTTAAAATGAACACTCAAACTAGACTGAATTTCCATTTAGTTTGATGCAACTTAACGGAATTTCAGGCTAGATTGTCTAAAAAAAATTAACGGAGCCTCCCCTCATTTTTTTTTATTTCCCCGCTTATTTTTTCATTTCTCCGCCTCTTTGGGGCTATTTGGTTGGGGTTGTTTTTTTGGAAAACTGCAGTTATGGAACAAAAAGTAACATTTTAGGCTTTTTTGGATTCCAAAAAACACGTTTGTTTCCCATTTTTTTTAGGAAAAGGTTTGCCAAAAACCTGACAAACAGTAGCTTTTTATGGATCTCCCATTTCCCCTTTTTTTGAGAGGAAATGGGTTGGAAATCTGACACACCACGTGACGCTGTGTTTCCTTTTCTCTTCACTCGATGAACTTGACCCGTGGTTGATAACCTCACCGCCTCGTCTTCAGTTGCCTCTTCTCTTCTACCTTTCCCTCCTCTGTTTCCCTCCTCCATTTCGCGCCGAATCAAGAGAAAAATCCGGTAGCCGAGGCATCCATCGGCGACAAATCGATCTATAATGGTTGATTAGATCCCTGCTGGGACACCTCGACCGCACGTAGCCCTTGATTTCAAACTGATTTTTATGATGTTGGGGTTTTACAAGTCTGCGATTTTCTGATGATGGGGCTTTGCATAGTGCATGTTGCCTTCGTTGATGGAGGTGATCTTCTCTGATTCAATAGAAATCGAAACTCCACCCTGATCTGAACTCCAGATCTGCCGTCTTGTTCTCTGATTTAGGGGTTCAAGTTCCTTCTCTGATCATCAGGATCTACTCCACACCGACGATAAGGTATAGCCTTCATTTCCCTAATTTTTTAATTTTATATGATTTTATTAAATTGTCACTATTTACTTAATATAGGTAGGCAATTATAGAAGAGTCTGAGTTCCAATATTGTGAGGAAAAACTGAATATATTTGTTGCATAGTTTACTCCCCAGAAATTTTCGAAATGTCAAACTGTAGTTTTCTATACTTACATAATTTAGATGTTTATCTTTGCTTGCTGATGTCCTACGTGTATATGAAGGCTAGATGAAAATATTTGCACAGTTTAAATATCGTTTAGAATATGAGTTCGTGGTTGATTTAATTTTACTATATATAATTTTACTGTGTGTAGTTATATAATTTTACTATACTCAATATCCGCTGAAAGTATTAGAATTATAAATTCGATCCCATTATTTGTCTATGTATAAGAATGAAATTTTGCTGGTATTGTAGATGGAAGATCTTGATGACGAAGCGTTAATGAGGATATCGAGTAATGCTACTATGTCTGCCATCGTCACTGTGTTGACATGTGTAATGAGAATGCGTTCTAGAAGAAAATCTGTCACCTATCACCATGGGGAGGGGAAAAAACAGAAAATAGAGTCTAGGAATGCCCACGTATTCATAAAAAATAATTTTAATACAAAATATTAAATATTAACTAGATGCAATACATAAAGATCTTATAGCCCTTTGATTGTGCAAACCATTCTTCGAAGGATATAAGCAAAGTTCAATGAAGAACAGTGATGAAGTTCAAGGGCAACACTCCTTGAAGGTTGACAGTCGAATGATGAAAACAACGTCTAGGATACTTTTTCAAAAGCCTGAGCAAGATCCTTTCTTCTAAGTTGAACCCCCCCTCCCCTCTTTCCTTTTCTCTCTCCCCCCTCTTTCTTTTTCTCTCTCAATTAGGTTAGGAACCTCTGCTGAAAAACGTGAGGAAAGAGCCCACATACTACTAACAATGAACGGTTACTTCTAAAAATAAATCAGAAATCTAAAATCAGCCATTTAACATCGATGGTTGAATTTAACCATCGATGGTTAGTTCATCACCAATCAATGATTTGAATGTTTATGGACGCTTGCGCCATCTATAATTGATAGTACGATCAATGATCTACAGATCAAATTGAGAGATTTTTGAAAAGTTACTATAATAGCGATTTTGACAACCGATTTAGAAGTTATGGCTTGTAAGTTTTTGTCTCGGTATATGTCTCAAACTTGTTGTTAACTGTTTCAACGTTATTTAACTAAAACATTAATATCTACAACTATAAGTCTCCAAATTGAGTTTCATTTATTCTTGTGGATTTTTTAGAATGATACAGACACTCCCCTTTGCTCAAACATGATTTCATTCTTGATATTTTTCCAGAATCGGATATTATTAACTTATTGTCTTGCTCTTTTCAGTATCGAACTTGATTCTAACCACTAGTAGAAAAATGAACAAACTAGATGGAACAAACTAGACAGATTTTTTTTCATCTAGTTTGAGGCAAACTAGACAGAAAAATCCGTCTAGTTTACTTCCACGGCGGCGGCATCGTTATATTCTCGCCCGCCTCCGGCCTCGTCCACCTCTCCTCTGCCGCCCGCTCCGCTCGCATCCCAGCCCTCGTCGCCTCCGTCGCCTACCGCCTCGCCCACGAGCACCGCCTCCCCGCCGCCTACGATGACGCTGTCGACACCCTCCTCTTCCTCCGCGATTTTGCGTGATTTCGGGTGGTCTTGGGTGGTTTTTCCAGGTTAAACTTAGTTAACCAAAGAAAAATCGGACTCAAAGATTGCGAGCTTGAAAAGCATGCTAATTAACCTATAGTTTAATTTAGAGCAAAATGTTATGAGAAGCTAAAGCATCTTAATAATTTGTATCCGATAACCAACTTTATGTTAAATTCGATTACTTTTTTTTTATGAAAGAGATTGAGAGTATCCCCTAGCAGGAATAATATCTTGATGAAAACCATGCCTACTGCAAGTTTAAAGTTCGCGGTTGAGAATATGACACTGTAATTGGGTATTCATGCACATTTAGACTTTTAACAGCTCACCTAGAGAACCAAGTCTGATTTTAAGTATAAACAATAAAGAAGATTATCAGCCAGTTTCTTACATAGTTTGATTGAGTCAACGAGGTAGACATTAATTTTTATACAAGTTTGTTAAATGACATTGCCATCTAATTTATCATGGAAAAAATGGAACTAGTTACAAATAAGTTCATAGATATACGTAAATGTGCAAATATTCCTCCAGAGTAGCAGGCTCCTAATTAACAAAATTTATGTAATTTATGATCAAATTAAAGATTGTTGATCAAATTAAAGTATCGGGAAAGTATCGGGGCTGACATGAACTCACCTCAGTTCAACATAGGCAAAGGAAGTGGATATAAGTTTTGGTGAATTACATTGTCATTTCCATGTCATGATTTATTCCTAATTTCTGAACCCATCTTGTGGAAATTAGATTTATAGGTGAAATAACTATTTTCCGATTTTTCTGTAACTTGACACCAACTAGCCCAATAGCACAAGTCTCTTGCATTTCAAGAAGCAAAAGATATAATCTTTCTTCTCTGAGTTATTTGATCTTGAGTTATTTCACTTTCATCAACTGGTTACCCTATAGTACTAGTCTCTTTCACTAATTCCTTAATTAGTGATTTGTGTATATAAATTTGGAAATAGGTCAATAAACTTAGATAATAGAGGTCATATATCACATGGAAAATTCTTCAATAACGTGAACAGAGTCTATTGTCAGTGGATGAATGAGCTATCCAGTGGGATGCCCCTTAAATAACATATACTTCTCACTTGGTTTCTGATTCGTGCAGTGATTATCTCCTGGTATCACAATTGCTACCGTTACCGCGAGGCAAATTGCACACAATGGTTATATGGCAACTTTTGTAGCGAACTTATAGCCTTTTTATTGCAAACAAAATAGTGTCAATTTCTTTGTTGTTGCATCTTCGAGTTCTGAAACCAAATCCTTAACTTTGTAACTGCTCTGAAACCAAATCCTTAACTTTTGTAACTGCTTCAAAAACTTGCATTAGCTTTGTATTAGTATGTTAGGAGACTTAACGGAATGTGTTGTTCTTCAAGTATTTAGTATCATTTATATTTATGTTGCACACGATGTTTAATGTTGAGTTTTGGTTTGCAGTATATTTTGTTAGCAATGGTATTCTAAATCTAATAATAATCCATTTGAGATACAAAATCACAGGACATGAAACTAAGACAAATTTGGGAAATGCATGATGGTTTGAAATTCAAACCAATAAATGGCCATCCATTGACTTAAATACCAAACCAAAGGATACGTCGTTTTTGGCTAACTGTATACAATTTTATTTTGAATTCTGAATTGGAATCTCAGTGAGAGTTTGAAAAGTCGTTTTTGGCTAACTGTATACAATTTTATTTTGAATTCTGAATTGGAATCTCAGTGAGAGTTTGAAATTCACAATGGCTTCTGTTTGATTATAAAACTTACCGAGTTGGTAATATGATTTCAGTGAGAGTTTGAAATTCACAATGGCTTCTGTTTGATTATAAAACTTACCGAGTTGGTAATATGATTTGTCCTGCCTAATTCTTGCTCTTACATCGGCACCACATCCAAAATTGTCACGAAAGAAAGAAAACTTAAAAAACAAAAAAAGAAAAATGATTAATCTGCACTCTTGCTACATTTTGGTGTAGTATTTATAAATATCTTTTAAAGCTTCTTACCATTAGTTCATTTAATACTAGAATATGTTATGTGATACTTGAACGCAAAGATGCGACTCATATGATGTTTCTTCATGAGTCTTTAACTTTATAACTGTAACAGAAGAGCTATGTGAAAATGCTTGCTCTATCTTTTGTATATGTCCTTTGTGCATTCCACTGCTTATAACTCCATATTTCAATTTATTTTCAGAAAATTAATGGCGAGTACTGCATGCTTTGTCATTGTCAGTAAGAATGATACTCCTATTTATGAAGCTGAACTGGGGTCTGCATTTAAAGTATACTTTCTGTTCCTTGACTGATCGTCTGCATGGAATTTCTTTTATATTTACTTTGATTATGTGGAAAAAAATCTGTTTACACTCAAGTGTCTGAGATTTTTTTTCATTTACTCCTATTATTTTAATTAGTCATTTTGTTATGAAAAATTCAAATGTATATTTTTGCTTATTTTCCTTACAGTGGTGCTTAAGTGCGCTTTGAATGAGCTAACAGATTTTGCAACTTCATCCCTTTGATTTTCATAAGCCATTTATGGCCTTGCTGTTGCAACTAGGAACCTGTTTTGTGCTTATCAATATTGTACTGATGTTATCTGTTGTTATGAGGAGTTGAAGAGCCTGCTCACACTAATGATCATTTTCCTCATTACCTTGTTCATTAAAGCCGATTCCCTAAGACTATCATTTCTGTTGGGTCCACATTTTGTTTTCCCTTATGTATTTATTATTTTGACTACTTGGACAATTCTTCTCTGCTTGTAGTGTTTCACTTTTTTTCCTTGGATTTTGTTGACATAAAAATGTTTATTTGCCTTGTAATATTGACAGGACATAACTAGAAATGTGCTCATTCTTCTATAAGTATTAAATGTCTCTAGAATAAATAAAGCTTGATATACTTCTAATGTCCAAAGAGTTTCTGAATATTGGTGGACCTCAAATAGTTTTGAAGGCAATTGACAGGTTCAATGATCTGGTGGTGTCCGTTTATGTCACTGCTGGTCATATCCTAATAAATCTATATTTTCCCACTTGATAGTTCCTGTAGATTATTTCCTGAAGTTTATGAAGAGTCTAGGTTATGTATATGTTTATTCTTATATCCTTGCAGAATGTATGAGAGTGACAGTCGAATTCAAGTTTGTTCTGAAGTGATGTTGCTAATTATGATACATACTGTGTAAAAGATCCTCCAAATGAACAAATGCATGCACTCACACAAATACAAGAAAGTATTGATGTTTACACAGACACTAAACAAATAGAGAGTTCTGTCGAAATTGTCTCTTTATACTATACTTCGTAGATGACTCATATTCTTTTGATAGTCTCCACATTAAGAGTATTTTGTAGTTCTAAAAGGTGTAATTGTACTATCTAAAATGCAATATATAGTTTCAGCAATCTTTTATTTTCTTTGACCTACCATGCCATACACACTAGATTGATGCTTCTTCATGATCTGCGTAATGAGGATGGAATAAAAAGCTTCTTTCAAGAGGTTCATGAACTTTATATAAAGGTAATATCACTACTACCTATTTTTATGGTTGCATTCTATCAATTCCTTTCATGAGATTCATTTAACAGTAACATTGAGCTTTGGACATGGATATGGAGCATCATAATGAATACTTGGATTAGGCAAATCTTAAAAGAACCTAGATTTTACACAAGAACGCACACACAAAGGTCCTGTCAGCCGTCAGCATTAAATCCTGAAGGAAAACACACAATTGACAACCAATACCAAATTACCAACACATATTTACGGCCTTATCATTTTAATGATAAATATCTAATAGTTGATTTCCTTATATTTTGTGGCTAAAGAATATACTCTTTGAATTTTTTCCCTTCTTTTCTTCAACGTTTGACACGTTTTGAATAAATATATGATAAAAGGATTGTTTTTCACTTCTTTTATTATTGCCACATGGGTTCTAAGATATCCCATAAACTTGAGCTTTCCTCCTTTGTAATGATTTCACGTATTATGTAAATGTGCAAATATCCACGTTTAACTGTGCATAATTTTATAGGATCAACGTCGTCTTGGTGCTATAATTTTGCCAACCCAGGATGAAGTTGTAGCCTTGGCAAAAAAGTTGTCAATTCTGAATGGTGATGCTGCTGAGCTCAGTAAAGAGAAGATATTGAATCTGTTGTATGATGAATTAAGAAGATGGTAAAGATGCTTCTTTATGTATTTTGTTTAATTGCTCATAATTTCAACTAATATTCTTGACTTGAACTGCACTATGACGATGTTATATATATGTTCCTTATAAGTTTCTCATAATTTCAGATTTCTACTTTTGTGATTGAGTATCAACATATCCTCCTGGATAATTTTGAGGATCATTAGCTTGTAAGTTTTCAACTAAAACCACCCCTAGCATCTTACCCAATGCTCTCTTCTTACTGCAGGACGATAGATTGTTCGTTTCAAATTGGACCAGTATTGATAGTAGATGAACCATTCACAGTAGAAGTAGTCTTCCTCGTTCATGACAACGAAAGCCATGATTTGAGCTCTGAGTTGACAAGACGATGGATTTTGGGAAAGAAAGAGGAGAGTTTGGTTTTAGGATCTGAGAGAGAGAGAGTGAGCGAGAAGAAGAAGAAAGGGGAGGGTTTTATAGACGATCACCATCTGGGTGCAATAACCAAGATTGTGCTGCAAGAACAGTTATCTTAACGTGTAGAAGCGGGTACACGTGTACTGTTGGCGTCGAGAGGTTGTTACTTTTGGCGGGAGGGTTCATGAGATTTGGAGCCAACTATACTTTTTTATTTTGTTTTTACGGCAGTAGTATGATTACTTGGATAACGCCGATTGATGCAAGTTCGTTACACTGTGAGTTTTTATTTCTGCCAACAACCTCCAGTTCTATTATTGAATATTGAATATATACACGCCGATAAATAACATCATTATCTCCAAATTCACAGCATCTTCCATTACACCAACGTCCATTCCAGAAGATTCCAGAAAATTGGAGAGATAGGTGAAAAAGAGTTCTTTTCCAGTGCAATGACCCCCCAACCCTAACAAATACCCTTATATTCATTTATTTATTTATTATGCTTAGAAATTGAATTAGGTTATACTTTAAGATGATATTTGGCCATAAAGGGTTAAAATAAGAACTTAGCTAACCCTTTATAAGAGATTAAAAATAATTTAATTTCGTTTGGATTTGATAGTTAAGATGAATGATAAGTTTTTTGTATTTAGCAAATAAAATAGAGTTTCAGAGGTTGTTGTCATAAATATCCAAAAAAAAATGTTTTTAGTTTTAAGTTCTTATTTCCAAGAGAATAATTCTTAACTCTTTTCTTTAAGTAAATTTGTTAGCCCTTCTAAATGAATGGTTAGCTGATTTTAACTCTTATAAAAAGTTTTGTTAACTCTTTAATCAAATTAACTTGTTTCAATGGTGAAGAAAAGATTAAACCCTTTTAACTCTTCTCTTAACTCATTACCAAACAGAACCTACTCCATAATTCCATATCACCAGTATTTGAATGCTCTTCATTTTTTGGTCCAAAATTATGTGGTTTTCGTTTACTTTTTTTAAAGTTATGTGGCTTTTGTTTTTATTTTTTATTGTTGACCTTTCTTCTAACACCTTTCGTGTCAATATGAATGTGAACAGTTCCGAAAACATAATTTCAATGTTAAAGCCCAATTCACTTCAAACGATGTCAATCACTTCAAATAATTTCACTAGATACCCTATAGTTTCACCTTGTTTGTACTTATATGCCCTCACCTATTTTTGGTAACATTTATATACCTTAAAATTTTTAAAGATTGTATTTGTATAATGTAAATTTTTCAAAACTTGCACGTATATATCTTACTTATTTTTTAAAGCACTTCTATTCCCTTGAGAGCACTTAAATGCCGTAATATTTTTAAAACTTGCACTTAAGTATCCTAAAAATTTTAACTTGTACTTACTTAAATTCCCTAATATTTTTAAAACTTGCACTTAAGTATCCTAAAGATTTTAACCTGTACTTAAATACCCTCATCTTAGCTGAGGGTATATATGTGCAAGTTGTAACATTTTTAGGGTATTACAATGTAACATTTACATACTATAGTGTATTTAAGTGATATTGAAAACAAGTGAAGGTATATAATTGTAAGTTTAAAAGCTTCAAGGTATATAAACATGCAACGGTAAATAAGTAAGCGCAATGAAGGCCTTTAAACAATGCCAAACACAGTAAGAGAGCCCCATTGAACTCACACTTTCAGAACCTCGCCACAATGGCTTTTGCTACAAGTACCTATTAATTTATTTGGAATTCTAAACGTGATGCTATGTTTAGAGACAAGTTTCTCTCACTGCTTAGCAGTTTTACTCTTATTGAGAATTTTATTTGATTACACTGATGATCTCAGGTCCCTTGTTTAATATTTGCTCACCCTTTACTCAGACACTATCACGTATGATCGTGTCCGCGCAATTGACTTGGTTTGATGAATATAAACTTTTATATTGATCTAATATATATTTGGCATGTTGTACACATGTTACAAGAAGTTCACTAGTAGAAAAACAAGCAACCTAGACGGAAATTTTCGTCTAGGTTGCTCCATTTCCCGTCTAGGTTGGTACATCTAGATGGAATTTCGTCTAGTTTGCTCCGTCTAGTCTGATTTCGTCTAGGTTGGGGCAAACTAGACGGAATTCTGTATAGGTTGACCAACCTAAATGGACATCAACCTAGACGGAAGTAAGAAATCTGTCTAAATTGGCTACCTAGACTGAAATCCGTCTAGTTTGACAACCTAGACGGATTTCCGTCTAGGTTGGCAACATAGACGAAAATCCGTCTAGGCTGCTATTGTTGCTACAGTAACAACCTGATACGGGTGTATCTTCTCTTCGGGAGCTTAGCGAGTCGCCGTGCGAGCATCTTTGATCGCGTAATTATCAAAAGTGGGTTGAGAAGAGGATGGCAGAAACACAAGCATAATTCAGTATATGGCGAAGAAAAATACATTCTTTTGATTATGAGTATGAAAAGATTACAATCCCTTTCTCACAATCTCACTAGAATCGAGAATAAATTCTCAATTCTCTCTAAACCCTAACCTCTCTTGATTAGAATCTCTCTAGATCAAAAAACAACCTCCCTGATTTCTTTTTTTATTACAATCTGAGTAATCTACCCTAAAAAAGTCGTGTTTCTATTTATATCAAATAGAAATCCTAAACAGTATAGGAAAACAAGCCCAGGTCTAAACCCGTCTCGCGGTCGACCGCAGAACCCATTGCGGTCGACCGCAGAACCCATCGCGGTCGATCGTAGACTAACACCCGCGACTGAAAATACGTTACAGGGTTTTGGCGGGGGGATGTCCAGAGGCTAAAGGCTGAGCTGTGCATGTTCGCGGTCGACCGCAGAGCCATGCGCGGTCGACCGGACATCAATAAAATTGTTTTTTCTGTCTTTTTCTAAACTCTTCGACTTCGCCGCCTCCAATGACTTTGTCCACGACTCCTCTATTATATTCTCAAGATATCATGAGAATCATCTATCCTCAAGCTCCCATGAGGATCGCTAAGCTCTCGAAGAGAAGATATACCCGTATCATGGGTCCCCTCTTTAGGAACTTGAACACCCGTTTAAGTTAGAACTTCAGCTGAGGGAACTCGCGAGCCTCTCCATCTTTGCTGAACCACATGGCCTTGCTAGGAATCTGGTCTTGATGTCTGATCGAAAACAACTCACCCATCCCGCGTCTCGTCGTGGTCACATTTCGCTCCAAGTTGTAATCCTTTATCGATGGCTTTTCTGGAAGTCTAATGCACAGCGAGACAAACTTCTTGCTTGCATTCACTAGCCTATTCGCTCGCGTCACCATCCCCAAGCTTGTCTCCCTCGGAAGAGATGCCGAACGAAATATGAACTTTTCACCACCTTTGGTGAATGTATACTTCTGAGCCCGTCTCTCGTAGATCGCATATCTATCCCATAATTACAGATTGCTCAGTATAATCTGACAAACATCCAATGAACTACGTCGCACATGACCTCGTCAATATACGACTCATGGAGCGTAAATCTGACAGTGCATTGATCAACTACACTCAGTTTCTCCTCCTTCTGAACCCACCCTAATGGATAAGGTTTCGGATGCTTGACCGTCTTCAGACCCAACTTCTGAACTAAGGCCTCGGATATCAAATTCTTCTCGCTACCCGGATCAACTATGACATCAACCAAACTGGTCTTCACTTGCAACTTAAGAACAAAGAACTATTCTTTCGGGTCGTCGTCCTCTTTCGTGGTCTGTTTCCCCGTCATAAGGTTGGGATTGCTATTGGGCTCTGTTATCCTCGGGACTTCTTTCGGACCTTGAGCTATCACGTATGCCTTCTTCTCCTCCTTCTTCAACTCTTTTAGCTTGAGATGAGGATACTTCTCCCAACACCGGTCAGCTTCATGTCCTGTCTTTTCGCAGTGACTATAAATCAATTATGTCTTTTCCGGATCACCCTTCTTCTCCTCCTTGTGCTTGGAACCACTAGACTCGCCTTTCGTCTGTCTAGAGTCTCCCTTAGCATTGTTGCCCTTCTTTTGCTTGCCCTCGAGGGCAATAGCCTTCACGCTCGCCTTTGCAATTAATTCCACCGTGAATAGCTTCATCTCCTTTCGGATGTAATCGCTCAATCCCGTCATATACTTCATAAACACGGAATATTCCTCTGTCGTAATGTTGAGGACCATCGCCTGCTGCTGGAACTCCGTGGTGTATTTTTAAACGGTTTGATTGACCCTTTGGCGCAAGCCGTACCACTTGTACCAACGCTCCTCAATGAATCCCACCGGGTAGAATTGCTTCCTCAGTAGATTCTTGAACTTGTTTTACGATACCGTCTTTTTCTCCTACTTGCAATAGGATTTTCACCACGTCAACGCGTGCCCTGAATGCTTCAAAGTCGCGAACACAATCTTCTCTTTTGACGAGTAGCCATAAAGAGTAAAATACGTCTCCATCCGCTCGATCCAGTCATCAAGCCTCTCGACGTCAACACTCCCATCATCAACAGGAATCTCCACCTTGAAGTCAATCTTCAGGTTCTGGTAAGAATTCTTACCCCCTTGATGCAACACAGCCTTAACGATCTCCTCCTTCTCGTCGGAATCTGAATCCACTCT